AGAGAGAGAGAGAGAGAAAACAAAAAAAAGGAAGGAATAACAAATTAAAATACATTTTGCACAAAAATTACAAAACCCTAATAAAAAATATTGTAATGCCCCAGCCTTCTCAGGAGCCCTGGCTCGGAACCATGGGTTGGTGGACCAGGTCTAAAGACCCCTAGTGCTCCCAGTGGTTATTTTATTTTTCTTTTTCTTTTTTTCAGAAAATAATCGCTTGATAACCCATGGGCCAGATCGGAACCTGCCAAGCCCGCTTAGTTCAGCCAGGCACATATAGCCCACTGGTTCCTTTCTGTAGAGTTGTGATAGAGTCTCTGAAGGCATATGAAAAATATGATGGATAATCATTAAGGTGCCTAACATGTAGATCCATTAATACTCTTTAGAGAAAAGTTTCACCAATAATCAATATTAGTTCTCAATTACCTGCACGGCTAGGCTACCATATAGGGTTCTCCAAGTTTCATATGAAAAAACAACCGCCTGCCTATTCAATTGCATGCGAATTAGACTGACATTATTTGCACAGAGAGAATGGGGTGTAGATCAACCAGTGTTTAAAATCGGAACGGTTAACTGGACATGGGCCTGGAGCGGTTAGAACCGGAGCCGGACTAACCAGTCAGGTAGATTTTATTTTTTAAAATAGGTCAAAAATACCCAAAAAAAAATTAAAACAATTCTAGTAGAGGTACTTTTCAAGTTCAACCCTCCAAAGATGGGTTCCATTCAATAGATTAACCTAGACTTCTTGGGTGTGTTTTGATATTAATGACCCAATTCATATTTGCCAAATGCGAGGTATGATTTGAAATTAAGACCACTTTTGTAAAAGTCTCTCTCTCTCTTTCTCTGTCGAATTGGGCCAAATCGGGATCGTCCAGTGACCGATCGCTAGTTACTCGGCCAATTTTTTAAAAACCGGCTAATCTTTTAAAGACTCTTTCCATAACATTCCAAAAACCTTGATAGAAAATGGAAAAAAATAAGAAAGGAAAGAGAAGAAGCAAGAACATACAAGACGATTGTGTAGTGTTTCATTGAACATAAGGCAACCAAAATTTTTGCATACACTTAGAAAAACAAAATGTCTCATTTCCATTATTACAAATATTACAAATATAACTAAATCATTCACTTAAAAAAATATAATTAAATAAAATCGAGCAAAAGATTGAGCGACAGTATCATGCAGTTATCAAAAAGAAGAATCAATTTCATCAAAAAGTAATTTTATCAAAAAGAATAATTTTTTTAAGCAAAATAGAAAAACACTTCCCATATTCATCAAAAAACATAATTTTATTAAAAATCATAATTCTATTAAAAATAATTTTATTAAACAAAATAGAAAAATAGTTCCCATATTCATAAAAAAAACATAATTTTATTAAGAAAAATATTTGTTATAGAAAAATCAATTTTTCAAAAACCCCTAAAATCGAGCAACATTTCGAGCAAGAAATGACCCTCAATGTTTGGATAATCGAACAAATCAACATACGTGCACTATAAAGGCTTTGATCATCTTTTAAACACACTAAATTTCATCAAAAAATATTCAGTATTTTTAATTTAATTGAAAAAATGGCAGAAATTTTATATCTATGAAATTTTTATGATATGGTGCAATAAAAAATTCATATAAAAACATTTAATCAATCATAAATAGACATACCTATTTTATTTGAGAGATTAAGCCTTGATGATCAAAATCCACAACTCAATTTGATAAAAAAGACCAATAAATTGATAAAAAATATGTGTTTTTGGATCAAACACATGTTCTTTGAGCAGCAACTTTTCGGGTCAAAATCAACCCGTGATCTTTGGTTTTTTGAACAAATTGAAACATGAATCTGATAAATACTTCGATTATCTATCAAACCCACTAAATTTCTTCAAGAACCAATAGGTATTAAAGAAATTATTGAAAGAATGGCGGAAATTTTCAAAACCTAAAAAATCCGCCATTTCGATCCAAGAAACTTTTTATTTTTCGATGTTTCAATCCAAATTTCTTGTTTTATAGATTCTAGATAGTGATATGCAGCAATACATCACAAAAAAAAAAGGCACCAAAATGAATAAAAAAAAGTGAAATTTTGGATTCAAGAATGCCTGCTACAAGTAATGGCCCCGATTTCAAAATAACGGCAGTAATGGGTATATTACCATTATTTCGTAAAAACATCCCTTCGTTTAACCAGTCCGGTTATCATAAAACTGGCCGGTTTGACTAAAAATGGCCATTTTGACCACTAACCGGCTGGTTTTGGGCCAAACAATTTTTTGGGGTGTACCCTCGGCTAGTAGACACTCAAAACCGGCCCTGACCAGGTTCCTTAGCGGTTCTGATCTAACCGGCCGGTTTTTCTGACACAAAGATCAACAACATAAACATGAAATCAAGTGAACTTTTACAAAAAAAACATTTTAGCAATGTGAGATGGCGACAATCGAAACAGTGAATTTAAAGCAAATTTGAGCTTCATTTCACTCCTGATAAATTCTTCCATTTCGGTTTTGTGGTTGAGCATTTGTGCAGAATGCACGCCCGCCTTTGCCTGCTAATTGTCCACTAGCTCTGGGCCGTTTCATTAGAAGATGCTGGTCATCGAACCCTGACAAGAGGCCCGACTTTGAGGAGATTGTATCAATCCTAGAGAGCTATAACGAGTCCCTTGAGCAAGACCCTACCTTCTTTTCATATGCATCCTCAGATCCCCAAACAATGACTCTCTGTTTCCCTAGTTGCATTGCTATACACAGGACTGCTTCCTCACCAGCCTAGCTTTCCATGACTTTAGTGAAAGGTATGTCTTTTTAATTACATTTATATACATGTTCGGTTTGTTCTTACCCCTTATTTCTTTTGTGTCATATTATTGAAGTAAGATGCAACCCAAAAATCCATCTAAAAGGTTGTTCTCATGTCGAAAAATCCTAAAATTTAGCACTTTGACCTCAAGATGCATGAATATGACAAAAATTGGATTTCAAGTTCTAAAAATAGTGCATCTTGTGTTATCTATAGACTGTTCATTCTCAAAAAATTCAATTGTTTATTGATTTTCTCTATCTCCATCATTTTGGAGCTTTAAATTTCATAATTACAGTGAAAATAGAATTTTAGGCCATTGTAAGGGGTTTTCAGTATCGGAACTCCATTTTAGCGAGATATAGAAGTGCGCCTTACTTTGATTGTTTAAGGTTTGACACCTCATACCAGTGTCTTGAGACTCTGCGCTGCCAAGGAAATCATCACCTGGCCAAGGCAAGTGACACGGCCGAGGCTGAACAAGGCTGAAAAGCCCTCAATAAATTGAAAAAATAGGAAAAATTCAAAAAAATAGAAAATGCATTAAAATCAAAAGAAAGCAAAAAACAAAAGACCTTAAGGAGCCCTGATAAACTTAAAAAGGTATTGGAAACAATGGATTTTGAAAAGGTGTATTTATAGTTGGGGGCATTTTACAAAAAGAAAAAAGAAAAACGGGGAAGATATAAAAAATAGGGATTTATGGAAAAAACGAGCTCACAAATCTTTGCCAAAAACATATAAATCCTACACAAAAAATTATACATCAATCCCACATTTTTTATGGGTTTTTTTGGAATTTTAAGAAAATTTAATATCCCCACATTAAACTTAGCCAAGTCCCAGCACAGTGTCTTATACCAACTGCACCCAATTAATATGCCCTTTCCTTTTGAGTTTCTTCTCTTTTCAATAATTTTATGGCCAATTCTTGTTGATGCCAAATATAGAGGTTGCATATTATTTTTTTATGTAATTTTAGTACATAGTATTCACTTCTTATTCTGAATGTTTTCAGTGTACGGCTGGTGTGTACCATATGTTATCCTGTTCTTCTTGGATTGTATTGCAGCTGGATCCGTAAGTTGTATTGCAGCTGGATCTGAAAGTTGTCTGTGATTTTTTCCTTTTTGCCTTTCCTCATGTTATTGTAAAAGTCTTTCTGGCTGATGTTTTTTTTTTCTTTTTTTATCCGATAATGTTAACTGTTATATATTAGAATAAGGTCATTGAGTACACTCTTTCTGGCTGATGTCCATGTTTTGAAACATGAAAACTCTTGGAAAGTGCTGAAAAGAAAATGAAGAGGAGCACAACTGCCCATTAATGGGAGTATGTCGCTGCTATTTCTTTCAAATATCCATTTTTATTAAATGAAATTGATGGTGAGTGCACATAGTATTTTATGGATTGCAATTGTCGGATTGGGTGACCATTGTTATGCATGGAGCTTTTGTCGTTCACTCTTTTGTACTGATTCAATTGTAACCATAAACTTCACTGATGATTTTCCTTTTGTTTTTGTTTCTGCCTTGTACCTTTTGTTCTTGTTTCTGCCAAAGAAGTCAAAAAGCAAAATAAAAAGGTGTTTGTAAATTTAAATGTGAAAGAAGATTGTCGTTTCAAACATTTCTGTTAGGCACTTCCTCGTTCTCAAGTGGAAATTTCAAAATAGCACCTTACCTATATGCTCCAAGTTATGATCTACATTGTTCCTAATATTTTAGTGGAACTTTGCAATTTTTAAAGAATTTTTTCTATGTTTTTTCCTCCAGATCATATGGAATTGATATGAAAGCACCAAAGCTGATCTTGAAAACTTTCAGATCCAAATGTGTTTATGGGAGTTGTTGAGTGCTCGTAGTACCCATTTCTTTTGGGTACTTATGTGTGGAAGGGACCTCCAACCTATGGTAGGAATGGACCGCAATAATATGCGACATTGTGATGCCCCCGCCACCCTGATCACCTTGCCTTGAGCCCACTCCTACTAGCAGTGCACTGCCAGTTCAAAATAGTCCAAGTAATGGTGGTGGCTCCAAGATAGCATAGCATTGGGGTGGACAACGGGTCAAGCACGGATTGGGTCCAACTAGACTCAGACTCAAATAGTATTCTGGTCCAAAATTTGGACCTGTACCTAGACCCAAAGGGTCCAAAAAAAAAAAATTGAACTTTTTTTACCATCATATACCCTATAACTATGAGTTTTTTTTTCTTTCCTTTTTTTTTGCCAACAATAATATAAATATTGTCACAAATGAACACTTAGCATGCGTTTAAAGGCACATGATTGCCATCATATACCCTATGATTATGGGTATGGGTTGGGTCCAGCTGAACTCAAACACAGACTAGAATGGCATTTGGGTCCAAATTTGGACCCGATGTTGGGTATACCCCTCGGATCTCAAGTCTAGTCAGGTCCATTGCCACCCTTACATAGAATGTTTCCATTTCCCCTTCCGCCTGCGTGCTTGGATAAGTGACCGATAACAAGAGAGTTAACAAACAGACTAATAAAAGGGCTACGGGCACACCCGAATGGGTGGAGAATATCTTTGGAAGATCCTGAAAAATCATTTTCCTGCGAATTATTCAATAAAGATCTTGAAGTTCCTGAATTCGCAAGTGATATCATGCAAAAAGAAATTCTACTGCTTTAATGGACTTCCGAGCAATAGTATACTGTAAAACCAATACCTTTAAACCAGGATTCCCTAGCCTGGGCCAATTAATAACTCGGTCTTCCACTGTACTCCGCGCGAGTACTTTACAACGCCCAAAAAACTCAAAGAACAAAAACATCCAAAACGTGAATCTAGAAAAAATGGGAAAAGCTTATATAGAGCCGAGGTCTAAACAATCAAATTAGAGTCTATCTCAAAAAATTTGTTGTTCTGATGCTTAAGTGTCTTTAATTGATCATTTCGACATCAAGATACATGGATATGAGAAAAAAATGGATTTCAAGTTTTGGAAACGATGTATTTTGAAATTCATTTTTGGACCATCAAGTTTTAAGATTTTCAAGTTTTCATAGATCTATCAATCTATGCTATTTTTGAAGCTTTAAACTTTATAAATAAATATGAAAATATATGTTAAGGCTATCCCAAAGATTTTTAATATTAAAATTATATTTCTCGATACTGTTTGAAAGTAGGCTCTAATTTGATTGTTTAGAGCCTAGCCTCTATACAAACCACACCCATGAAAAATTGATTTAGGGTTACAGATATTTCAAAAAAAATCCAGAGAAAAAGAAAAAAATATAAAAATGGGGTACATGACAAAAAAAACTCCAATCATTATAAAAAAATCAAAATTACATATATAATTTGGGAAAATATCTCCTTATCTATTATTTTTAACTTCCATATATCATGAGACCCAATAATTAAAAATATTACCTGTAAACAAAAGGTCTCTATCTTTTCTATCTTACAACTCCGTAGACCCCTTTGACCATAAATTTTTACCCAAACAAATACTAAAATGACACCCTATTCAAACTTCATTTCTCTCTCTAAAACTCCATCTCTCTCTCTCCACTTCTCGATGAGTTTACTAGCCAAGGGATTTAGAGCTCGAACACAAGCACATCTTCTTATGTGTGTGTGAGAGATGGAGTTTTAGAGAGAGAGAGAGAGAGAGATAGAGTTTGAGTTTTAAGGAGAGAAATGGAGTTTTGAAAGAGAGATATGATGGTATGAGAAGAGATGGAGTTTTACGAGAGAGATGGAGTTTTGAGAGATAGAGGGAGACGATGATGTGAGAGAGAGATGGAGTTTTAAGAGCGAGATAGAGTTTTATAGAGAAAAAGATAGAGTCATTTCATAAGTTGTTGAGGTCAATAATACATGGTCAAACGGGTTGAAGGGGTTGGAAGATAGAAAAGATAGAATCTTTTTGCTTACAAACAATATTTTCAATTTTTAAGTCTGATGAGATATAGAAGTTAAAAATAAATGATAATAGGATATTTTTCCTAATTTTTATACATTTATCCAACGGAATTATAACTTTCAATTTTTGTGTTTTTAATATGCCTGAGTTGTGCCCCGTACTTAGCTCGGCAACGGGACTCAACCGAATAGTTAAGCACTGGCATGCACAAGCATTTCTATTGAAAGAGTATTTCGAAGAAAGCCCATAGTTAGGGCGAAGGTCATAAGGAAAAATATTTTATAAGGTGTCTACCTTATACTATTCAAGTAAGACGCACCTCAAAACCCATCAGAAAATTATAAGGTTGATGTGCACCTTATTTTGATTATTTAAGGTTGATGCTTCTCCCCTCACAAATTTTTTTTTTTTCTTATTTAGTTCATCAAAAAAAAAGTCCCCCAACTTTTTGATAGGAATAGAACTCAAGGACATCACCTTGTAGCATCCTGTCTACCTATCATTCAACCCATTCTTAGACTCCAATAGTTATGAATGTTAAGCAAAAATAAAGGTACTCAAACATTTTTTTCTTTTTCTTTTTCTTTTTCCTTTTCTTTTTCTTTTTTTTTTTTTGAAAGAGTTACTTAGCATTCTATTTTGGAAAACGTACAATACCAAATAGATGTGAAGTAGCTTTTCATATCCTCTTTGAAATTTTCATGATACACTCCAGGAATTTTCCTAAGTTCGTCGATCTGTTACCTTTTTTTGAGTTTTAAATTTCTTTTCATGTCATCTTTGAAATTTCTTTACATCTTTCATTAAACTTTGGACTTGCGCCTTAATTGGATTGTTTATGATTGATGCCTTATGCAAACGACACCCTTGAATGACCACCACACTACTATATGTTTGGATTGATCGCCAAAGTCTATTATTTTAAACGGAGTGTGTGAATGTAACATCTTCATTCCTCACTCTTTACTTTCCATCATAGATTTTAAAACAAAAATTGACGAACATACATGTATCCTGCCTCCACCCTGTTCTCCATCACTTCTAACTCAGTAAATTCAAGGGAAAAGTATAACTATACCGCTGAAATACAGTCCCTTCAAAATCCATGTTACAGATGGATTTAGAATTTAAAACGCATCCTTAATCATACTAAACGGATTTTCACTTTAGATCCATGATTTTGCAAAAATGAACATTTCAAGTATGGTCGAAAGGCATAGTTCAACGGACTTTGTTTTTACTATTTAAAACCGATTCAAGAATTCAAGCACCTGCAAGATTAAAATATACTATTTCAAATCTGTATATGAATTCCCAACTTCACGGCTCTGAAATTGGTTTTCTCAAGCGATTGGAATTTGTCAAATGCCAATTCCATATTTCAATTCATTTGTGTTTTTCCTCCGTGAGAGGAGAACAGGGGCAGCGGGAGGCGTAGGCAAGCTGTTGACAGGGAGAGATATCGAACCTGATTTTCAATCAGCAGAAACCTTTTGTGCGAGAGAGAATTGGCCAATGTCATGTTCAAAGTTAAAACATGGGCAGTGATAAACTATCTTGACTTATTATATCTCATCAAGCAATATACCCAATTATCCCCCGATTAAATATTGGATGGTTGCGACAGATCAGAACAGTCATAGCCGAATGAGCATGGGCCATCACTTTTCTGATCTTTCGTAATTCTTGGAAGCATCAAATGGCTCCAAAACGACTGCATCAGATTCCCAAAAAAAAGACTGCACCCGATAAACATGACGGCAGAACCACAAGGAACCCACATTGGGGAAAAGAGGAACCATACCGGCTGTTCTCATAATTCTTGCAAGAACAAATTAATTTTTGGTCCATCTCTACATCTCCCACAGCTGAATGTAGACCTATACCAGTCTTACTAATACTGGACCACCCAGCAAGTCCACTCCAGCAAGCCTCTCTCTCCCCCTCTCTGTCTCCCTCTCCCTCCCTCTCAGACACACACAAAAGAAATCAATCTAAATATATCAAAATACAGGCAGGGTTAATCTATACATTACATCTAAATATATACGTTCTCAAAAATGAGCCGAACCATGTCTAAACCAGTCAACCACCCATGACCCTTCCAGGATTTAGACTCATGGCAAGTTTGGGTAAACATTAGATTAAACATTGATTCAAGGCTGTCACTGTGTTTATGACCATATCTCTGTGACAAGTCTATAATCATATAAAAATACATATATAGTGATGGTTACTTTAGAACCACGGCTGCATTCCTTATGGATAAATACCTCTGGACATAATCATTTGGCAGATATCTGATGCGCTTGAACACATCAGTGTTTACATAGCGGAGCTTCGTTTTTGGGTCCGTGTAGTGAGTCTGCAATCACAAACCAATTTCAGTATCAACCATGAAACCTTTTTTTGGTTTCTGTACACCAAAGTGGCGTTCGTAACCTATGGAAGTAGAGATTGTCCACAAAATAAGAATACCATGGTCAACAGATGGTCCAGATCTGGTTGGTCTGGAGAAATGCTGAGAGAGAGAGAGGTGGGGGGGGGGGAGAGAAATACACCCCACCTACTCAACTTTGTACTAGACTGGGGTGGATATTTTACAATCATGTCTTCTTCAAAAAAGAAGAGGAAGAAAAATTACAAGAACAATAAGGACAGGTTGGAAAAAATATATAGATATATCTAGAAATTTGTTCAACACATTTGTCAAAAAGGAAAAAGAAAAAGGACATTAGTTCTAACACACTCCTCACACCCAATAATGGGGGAGTCTTTGAGGACAGATGCCCAGCAAGGCAGCAAGCAAAAGGCCCCCTCCGTCCTCCAATATTACTAGTTGACATTTTCATAGTATTCATGTTAAAAACAAAATTGAGAATGTAGTACTAATGTTAAAATTGACACTGCTTAGAAACCCACTTGGAGGCAAACGACATACATGTTTAAGAGGACCCTTTTTTGGTTAGAAGTGTTTGAGGTTAAGTGCCATCGGGCTTAATGTGACTCCCTAAGTCCTTTTCAATCTTGTCATAAAATAGAACAGGTGCATGTATTTAGAAGTCCTCTACCAAGGGAATCAATTTTATTCTAATGATATGGAAAAATTATGAGAAATAGACCTCCCACACCATGCCAAAATTGGTTTAAATCAACAAGAAAGAGCATCTTAACCTCCATTGGGTGCATCAATGAAATACCAATGATAAGAAAAAACTTGCCCATTTTCGAGTATTTAAAGGAAAAGACAACTGTACAAAGTATGGCAGTGTAATGAGATAGAACCAAAGAAAATCATGACTGCAAATAATAAAGATGATAAATAATATTTGTGAAAGAATATAAAGATGAATCACCAGTTAAACACAACTCTATAAGTAAATTTTCGATTAGACAGTACAAGATATAGCACATGCACCTCAAATCCAGTTATATCGCAAAACTTCTTGGCAGGGTAAATCGAAGGTGGAGCCTCAATGTTAACATCTATAAAAAGAAAGGAAATTGAGTTACAAGCCCATCCTTTCACATAATATAGATCATTTACCTTGAACAATAAAATACGTGTATGTGCGTGCGAGAGAGAGAGGGATTTCTATTGAAAAAGGAGATTGGAGGATTCAGGCCTCAAAATAAACATACCAATTTGAAATTATTGCTGGTTGTCTTTTTAATAGTTCATGATGAACAATAATGTGTTTGCCACAATCATTACCAAATCATTCAGTTCATAGTTGTGTCCACCAATTTCGAGATTTGTGAATGTGGACCCAAAAACTGATATATTATGAGAAAATTACACACCAACTTGTTTTAAAAATTCAAAGAGTGGCAGTCATTCATAGTTCCTCTTTGAAAAGCACAAAGCAAAAAATTAACAATTGCACCAACATTAAGGCTACAAAAGCACTAACAGTTGGGCTCATCTGGAGGATAGTTTTGATAGTTCTCAGCTTGAAGGATATGCTTCAGGTGTTTCCATTGCCTGCCTCTATTCGCTCCTTTTGGGTACTTATCGGACATCTGCACCCTCTTAAAAGGGAGAACAGGGGGTAAGAGAATATCTGCATCTAAGACTTCCGGTTCCATTGGATATGAGCATCAATAGCTTTTGAATTCCTCTTCACAGGAAACTAATTCTTTCCTACAAAATTTAATGAGAAAAAAAGATGTACTATTTAATGGCAAGCCAAAAGTATATTTATTGTGCAAAAGAACGGGATCCCAAATAACGAACATATAGGGCTCTATCAAAAAGGAAATCAAAATCAAAAAGGATTTGTAAAGAAAAATTGCACCATCAAAAAATAAATAAAAGGAACCATAAATGAGCTACTTATTAATCAATCATATGTCAAACAATCAATATACAAAGTTATTCAATCATATGTTAAAAGTCAATATACAAAAGTCAATGTAACTTTCAGCTTCATGTAAATAGAAAGCAACACCACTGATAGCTAATTGTTACATGTAAAATTACAAATAAACCATCGTTTGGACTGTTTACAATGGAAAAGTGAAACATTTCTGATTCCACTGAATATAATTATATAAGAAAGAATTAGAAGACCGATATAATGCAACATCATACATTCATACTTTTTTCTTTCAAAGTTGGAATTTGATAATATCAAGCTCTCTATCATTGCCATAATGACAAACATGCACCAAAGTATCACATGTAAACGCGATGCCTGATTATATAAAATTGACCAAGGGAACATGATTTACATACTAGTCCTTTAGATTTAAGGAACCATCCCTGGTTCAGCAAAGAGGTTATTGCGTTTGGACAAGGAAACGCTGGAATAAATATTAGAGAAACCATCGTAGGCATCACTATAAGCAAGCAAGACCCAATCAATTGCCATTACCTATGTGAACTGAATTGATATAGACAAATGATTTATTGAAGGCGAGTATTTTCTATTTTACGAGGGGTATGAAACAACTATAATATGGGATTGTATACTATGAAACCATTTATTTTTAGTACAAGCAGGTCAAAATCACTTTTAGCCACTAGATGTGAAATCCAATCAGTGTTTCAAAAAGCGCTAGGCGGGTCCTAGGCGGCCCAAGGGGTCCAGGTCGCCCAGCACCTAGGAGGGTGCCCAGCTGGGCGCCAAAAACCTGGGCGGCCCAGTTGAATCCAAAAAGGATTCTACAATTATATATTGTATAAAATATAAGAATTAGGTATTTAGGGCATATCAGAATTCAAAATATACTACACATTAGCACACACTCCATAAGCATAACTATAAGTGGGTCCATAATCCATATCCAATTAAAATTTACCATTCATAGTTCAATCAAAGTTCAAAGTTTAATAATTATTCGACATTCATCATTCATCATCAGAAAAATTCGGGTAAGCTGCATTGGCATCATATTCATCAGAGTCGTCACCCTCCCCGACATATTGGTCGTCCTCATCCGTCTCTTCTTAATCTGCCTCTTCTTCCTCCTCCACCCTCGTTCTCTGTGGAGAAGATCTAGTGGCCCAAGAAGGGTCAGCTGATGTTTCAGAAGCATTCATATCCATATCTCATGTCAATCCTTCATGCCCCTTGACCTCATCATCATCAACTAACCACTCCATAGCATTGTCCATATTTTTTTCTCTGATGGGGGTCTCTCTTATCTCTCTTAGCAAGCTTGTCCTTCAAGAATCGATTATACTTGACATAGACTAGGTCATTGAGCCTCTTTGATTCAAACATGTTCCTTCTCTTTGTATGAATTTAACAAAATCAAATGAAACTAATTAAAATCTATGGTTCATGTATTATTAATACAATTATACAAATTACCCTTACGGCCTTACCCCTTCAAAAGTACTCCAATTGCACCCACAACCAGATGAGGAAGTAGTTAGGTTTAAGATCTGAATGGCCAACTTTTGTAAATTTGGAGAACTACACCCATGTTGGCTCCATCAATTTGGCTACAAAGATATAAAATAAAATCATAAATAAAAAATAAAATTATAAAAATGAAATTTGATTACTTGAACTTGATGAACTTAAGAATATTATTACTACCTAGATCAATTTTGGACATTTGCCTCATCGCCCTTAGAGCCCCAAAAGACTTTAATAAGCACTTGTAATTTATCAGCTTATCAGCGCATATAATATCCTGGATATCAGGATCAAGGACTAGCACATCTACACACATTAAATCCAGTCATTTGTGTGTATATCCTTGTCAAAATAGAAAAAAGCTGGGTTCAAATAATAACTAGCTGCATGCAATGGCCGACGTAGCTGCCTATCCCACTTCTCATCAATAATCTCTCAAACAGGCTTGTAGCAATTCTCATCATCATCAAAATTTTGGGCCATATCTTTTTTGCATTTCTCCATAGACTCGTATATATAGCCCATAAAAGACTTGTCATTATAAACCATGCGAAGGACTTTGACAAGAGGAAAAACTACCTTAAGAGCACCCTTCACCCCTCGCCAAAAAGCCTTACAAAGGATAATATCTCTCACCTTCTTCCCAACCTGATCCTTGGACTACTTGCATGCTCTCCAATCTGCCTCAACTGCACTCTCCTCGAATGTATGCTATCTAGGCATAAGTACCAGATCGCAAATCTCGTGACCCCAAGCCTCACAATCTCTTTTTTCTTTGTAAATCTACGTATCATGCTGAAGGTGAGATGGTGGCCATAAATGAAATTTGTAATTGACTTTGCCTTCTTCACTGCA